AGTCCTCTCCTCAGCACCAGCCCCACGCCATGGAGCCCAAGAAGTCCTCTCCCCGCGGCGCCGGGGCCGCCGCCGCCGCCGCCACGAAGCCGAGTCCCCGTTGAGCAGCTTGTTCTACCCCCGGCGCCCGCGGTACGTTTCTTGGCACCCTCTCCTGTTCGATGCTATGCCTCGTTGTCAGGTTCGAGCTCGACGTGGAATTTTTTTCTTTAACTTTATTATTTACGATGATGCAGATGGGTTTCTTCGCGTACAGGCGCGTTCCTAGTTATATACCATAGTTTTCCCTTTTCCAGTTTGTTAAGTTTGGCGTGTTTCGAATGTGGGATACGCCCCTTTTCATAAGGTGTGCTATTATCGTAGAGTATCGTTTTCTAAACACAATTTTAGAGGATTATTTAAGAGTGATGGTGATATGAATACTTAATTTCCCTAAAAAAGGTTTTATATATATTTTTCAAAACATTTCTTTGCTGTTGGTATATATTAGTAAAATTCTTTCTTCGTCTTTTTCCCTTTCGTTTTCAAGGCAAATGGGAAAGATCAGGACTTGTACAGCATTCTTTACAAAGGACAGAGCGGGAGCGCACAAGCTGGCGTGACAGGTAGTTGTGGAATTACCCGGTTTCGTCTTATTTCTGTTATCCTATATGCTATTAGGAGGGAACTGTTGTGCTAATAAAACCGAAGAGCCTTTGTATCACGAAAATAATTACATTCCCAGAGATTTTTTTTTTAAATTACATTCCCAGATGAATCTTGGGAATCATGTAGGCTATAGTTACCATTTGCTTACATGATAGATACAGTGTGTCATTGTGTATTGTTTTGTCGACTCATAAATACTTTTAGCCTCCAACTCTTGTCTCCATGACTTTGGACTGTTTGTATTATCTGGGTTGATCATTTTACTTGGTTATAGTTGGGAAGCATTGAGGGTATGACACAGCTGAAAATTAACTGAACAATGATTAGTTTGATATTTTGATCTCGACTGAACAAAGATTGATTTGATATCCAGATGGTAAACCGTCTCCTTCCAAAAAAGTCGTACAGCGTGACGCAAAGGATGGTAAACATTCACCGCCTTATGATTCAGTTGATACGTCATGTTTTGGATCATCTGTGCATTATGGTGGTCGAGAATATTTCTACGGCAGCTCTACAACCAAGAAAGCAACAGAATCCTCAACTGATGTAAGAATTACTGAACCTAGAAATAGAACTCTTTCCTGTGATTTGTAGTTCACAGTTTTTTAGATCATCATGAATTACTCTGCACTCCGGCAAGGCTTTGAATTTAACGTGTGTGTTTTCAGTACAAAGGGGACAAGAAAGATCCAGCCGCAGATTCTCATGGCGACTGGTGGCAAGGTATATCATTATTTTAATATTGAAACAGATATCATAACTATCTGTTCAAGCTTCTGATCGTTAACTCTGTTTTCTTTTATTTTGTGGGGCTCACAGGCTCATTTTATTACTAAGAGAACCTGGTGGCCTCTCCTTGGAGAACAAGGTAAACAGGAGGATCTTATTACTGTTAAAGCTACTAAGTTTGTTGCTATACTCTGCCAATGCGTATGCTATCCATCTCACATTTTTGTACCAGAGAATCCTTTCAAATTCCATATTAATACTCGCAGCTGATAGTTTGTAGATACCGATGTTGGCTCACTTGGCCTATGATACGTCACATGTAATCTTAGTTCTTCATATAGAAGGGAGCATATGCTCTCTCCTTTTCCAAAAGTCAGAATATATAGTTCTAGCATGACGTGAATTTCTCAAAGGTATTCTCTGTGAGGAAACCGAGTTTATATTGATATCTCAAGTGATAAAGTGTCCAAACAACTTTTTCCTAAAGAGGATGCCCAACCAATTCCACTCCTATGATGAAATCCTGTTAGTGCATAGTTCAACGCTTAGTCTATACTCCATCTCTCCCTTCCGTGTTTGCGGTATTAACCTATAAAAAGGAAGCTTATTTATTTGTTTCATTGTTTGTGTGTCTCGAGCTGTCATCATTTTTTGGTAGACAATTATTTTTTCTGCAGAAAACTAGCAACCAGATTGATATACAACGATGTGCCTGTGGAGAAAGGCCAGTGGGTGGGGTGGGATTAACTGTCTTGGAGTGAAAACTTTGATTAACAGCTACCTTTACGTCATTTTCATATGGTGTAGGCAAATAATTAATTACTGCTGTTTCAGTATTGATTTGGCTGATAATTAGTTACATCGTTTTCAGTATGGTTACATGGGCTAACACTGTTGTCACCTAAACCCACCTAGCGTGAGAAGCCAATCAAGGAAGAGCACGCCTGACTATTGAGCGCCCTGATGTGATGTTTCATTATATTGGAGCGTAAGGGGGACCTTAGATAATAGTTTAAATTAGATATCTCCACAACTTAGTTCCATGTCAAGAAGCTAAGCAGAATTTAATTTTAATCTCTATTGATCTACTACATTACTTGGCTGCTGTTCCATCTTCCATGCCATCGTTTTGTTCTTTAGATTATATATTATATCTATAAGAACTAGAAGTTTGTTTAGGGAACGAGTATGTGGCAAACTTCTGCTGTTCTGACAAGGTCCAGATCATGAAAATCAATGTATTAACAGTTCTGTAAAGCATAGAAATGTTTGCTTTGTTAACACATAGAAAATCAATGACAAAGATCTGTATTTTTTATGAAAATGAAAATGGAGATAGGAGCCAAGCATTTATTTTATATGCAAGTTATGTAACTGATGCTGCGCCTGTTGTTATGCAGCCTTTGATGAATGATATTTATTTATATCATGTTATTAGTTTTGTCAGTTTTCCTCACAATTCTATTTGGTTCTGTATGGCAGGAACAGAAAGGGGAGGCAGTGAAGCTCGATTTCCTTGACTGCTGCTAGTAGTATTATCTGCGTCATAGTGGACCCGCTTTCGTCCAATGGTGGTGCCAGTATTTAGAAGCATCACCTCACCTGGGCAGATGTAGTGTGTGTCTTTCATAGTCTCTGCTTTAGATGTGCAATATAATGAAGCTGTAGCACAGTATGAATTAGATTGCATAAAAGGGTCCCTGTCCATTCCGCCGGTACTATGAGCGGTTTGGTGTCTGACTCCTTAGAGTCAAATGTCTGTACAATTGGATCGTCGCTCCAAAGCAAAAAATAATGTGCTGGAGAAGCGGCGATGACTTCACATTGTACACCTTTACCAGCTTGAATTTGACAGAAGTTTGGAAAGTGTTCTTGTCAATTACATTTTACAGTATTATCGACTTCAGGAAAAAGAAATACTTTTATTCCAAAGTTCAGGCATTATTACAGCAACATTATTCTGGGGATCTGTGAAAAGTAAGATATGACAGAGGTCACGGCATATTGGCAGTCAGAGTTTGGAGTCCTTCAGGTGCCACTGTCAGTCTGTCACTCTGCCAGCCATCACTTTGCTCGTCATGATCACTTCATGGCAGGGTATATGCTGCAGAGTGAGAAAAAACAGACAGTGAGAGAGGCAGAAGAAAGCAAATTATGTTGACGCCAATGTAATTTCAACAAAAACGATGGGGATCGCAGGGGGCGCTTACGGCCGCATTTGTAGCCGACGGGGCGGTTGGCGATGGCGCAGCGCTTGGGGATGGTCATGGCCACGGCAGGCTTGACGCCGGCCTTCCGCGCGGTGTCGGACAGCATGACGGCGCACAGGCACTTGGGGCTCCGCCCGATGGCGCGCACCTGCGCGCAGCAGCTCGGCGGCACCGCGGCGCGCGGGTTCTGCGTGGCCGCCGCGCACGGCGCAAGCTTGAGCGCCACCTGGTCCACTGGGACGCGGCCGCACTCCCCCGCACCGTGCGCCGTATCCAGCCCCGCGAGGCCGGCCACCAGGAGCATCGCCACGACGCAGAGGCACCTTGCCTGGAGCTCCATTTCTTGATGACTGGTAGTGCACTGCACCTCACGCTCTGCTGCTGCCTTCACTGCACTACACTGAACTCTGAAGTCTCTGATGAAGTGATGGTCTCCTCGGCGTCACGGAGGTGGCTATATATACAGTCCCGGGGCCTCGAGCGTGAACGGAAGCCATCATGGTTTGCTTGAGGTTTTCCGCGGCTCATGGTGTGAAACGGCCGAAGTGGACGCTGCACTAGCGTCGGCTTTGTGCTGCATGCGCCGAGCTCTCCGTTTAAGTAGCATTACCTACTGCGCTCCACTATGGTGAAGGAAGGGCTTAACGACCATACACCTTTCTTTGTAGTCTCTGAACAGCTGCCACGTAAATGGCCTGTGATCGAAGATTCGACTACTTTGTCGGTTCACAATCATCACGAGCATGTCGGCGGGGGCGGGCTGATTTTAGGATTGGAGAGCAGGCCAGAGTTCTTGAAAACGCGAGAACCTAGTCACACGGTCTTCTGCAGGGTTCTCACAAACCTGAAACTACGGAGCTCTAAGAACTTGTAGCAGCAACAATTTTTGCTGGGGTTTCACCACTGAGATCAGACCCTTTTCTCTTGAAGCCAATGAAATTTGACTCCCAGGCTCTAAATTGCTTGGAACATAGCCCAGCCATCAGTTTGGGATGTTAGATGGGCGTTCATCAAAGGGATTGCAATAAAAACTGGCTATGTTTCTGACCAAAGACCATTGTAAGGTACTAATTCTGCGAACTGGACAAAGAGTTGGCTTTCATATCAAATGTCCCCAGTCTTTGTTAATTTCAACCGTAGAATTTCAACAAATTCAAATCAGACTGAAACTCCTCATACAGAGTATGTAACAACTAACAACACCCGTCTATGCTAATAGTACTGTAGATCAGGGCATCAGGCTGTCAGCAAACAACAGTGCAGTACGCCAGTAAAATCGTAGGCACACAAATCAGAAATGCAACATGCCAGTAAAAATTTGGACGCTCATACAGAGACAGACAGAGAGACACAGACACATATACACAAAGACTAGTCATCTTGGCAATCTGATGAGCTATCAGCTTACAATTACAGCTCTGTAGTAGTAGAGACATCGATCATCATACCGCTGCTGATTATCATCCCCTTGATTTCTGTACCGACATGATCCATCAAGCCTTTCTTTGTGCCAGCACCCCTACTATGCTGAGACCGTCTGCCTGGAGTCAGCGACGTCCTCTCTTTCTTTGATGGGCTTGCCAATTGTGCCGGCGAGAAGCTAGGTGTGGCATATGCCGTCATGAATGGTGTGCCAGAGGCTGGTACTGGGAAGGATGGAACAGCAGTCTGGCTGCAAGCAATCTTGCAGTCTGCATCACCTGTTGCTGTGAAATGTTCAGCGTGTCTGTTCAGCTCATCGATGTTCAGCAGATCGTCGATGCGGGTGACGATGTTTGAAGCCAAACTTTCTAACACCCTCGAATAGCTCTCCAGGATTGATTTACCCACATCCTGAAAATTGCTCACCAGCAAGAGTGGCATCAGCTATTGACCTGTAATTTGGTAATAGCTAGAATATTAGGAGAAACAGATAGAGATAGAAACCTTGTTGTACTGAATTTTGCTCATGTCCAGGTTTGTCTGTGTCAACCCAGGAAACCTTTGCTTCAAGCATATTATTAGCAGGCCCTCTGCTCGTTCGGCTAGCAGCTCTCTCTTCTCCGAGTCTACCATCATGTCCTTTACCATGCCCCACGATGATCTAGCACTGCTGCTTCGGCCCAAGCCATTTACTGGTTTGGCAGCAACCCTCCGGCGCCACACATACACTGACGCCTCGACACGGTTTGCGATTTCCAGGGCCTGGTACTCCGTGGATAGGTCCAGGCAATCAAGAAGGCACTCAGGGAGAACTGATCAGACGTTATGTAGCGGTATATGATATCACCTAAGGTTGCCCTTCCATTCTGAAATCAAGTTTAGTGCAACATGTTCAGAGCTGACAATAAGAAATGCTGTGGACATTGCACATTCATGAATTTTGATTACGGAAGATTGGAAGAAGGCATTGTATACCTTTGGTAGGGAGTCAAGATAAGATTCAGGGACCTCCATCTCTGCTAAGGCATTGCTGTTGATGGCCATGGCAGCCTTCAGGATTTGGTTTGCACAATCACGTTTGTGCTGGAACTGCTTCCTTGTTTTATTGTGAAGGCCACCGGGAGGCACACGAGGCACTGGGAGCCACCATTTCTCATCACGGCGGTGAAAAGCCGTCCTAAAGGATGCAGAGCCGTCGCAATCTGGTGCAGCAATACCTTGCTCAACATACCAGAACTCTGGGTCTCTGAAGCTTTCCAGGATTTCCTGTCAGAATATGGTGCTATGAGAGAACTGAATTTTTCGATCAACTGCAATGAATCCACAGTTCAGAAAAACTCACAAGGAGCATATGATCCAGCTTCCGGAGCGCTGGAAGATTAATGTACAGATCAGACCGTGGTCTAGTTGTCATGATCTGAAATACGACATCAAGACATTTGTGCAATTAGTTATTGAGTGGCAATGACATGCATCAATTTCAGTGTGTAATGCATAGTAATCCTTAAACAGTAAGTACAAATCGAAAGTGGTCCACTTTTTATGATCTGAAATGTATGCAATCTCATGATTTATATGATGCATCATACGTACAAACATTTAATATATGTTAGGTGTCTAATGCATCGTACGTACATATAAATCTCATGATTTATATGTTCGGTGTCTAATGAGTACAGACATTACTACCCCTTAGTGACACTCATTGATAGCTTTCAGTTGGAATTTACTCACTGCAGAAACAGATAATCATTATTGCTGACTTCTGTTTAATTTCCTTGTTCTCTTTACAAAATTAGAGAAATTGCTTGTGTATGTTCACAAATTTAGGTATAGCCTTTTGCCATTTCACTGATGAACATATCTTATTTTACTATTGCAGCATTTTCTATGACTAGTATAATTTTCAGCTAATCCTCTCTCGCACCATTTTTCTTTTCTCCATTAGAGCAAAATCAAGTTACTTGTACCAAATCCAGGGTAGCTAAGCGCACGTTTAATATATCATTTTCCAGTAGTCCATATGCATCTAGAGGCCCATTATAAACTGTTCTGGTACACTTAACACTTCTTTCGAAACCCAGCTGTTGTACTTGCTATTGAACAACCACGACATTCCTGTTCGCTTGAACTCAGCCGGCTTATCAGCTATACGGTATTTTTCTCTTATAATAAAACAGCGTGCCGACTTATCAGGTAGCTTTAATACCCGCCGAAACCGTACGAGCAAGAAATTTGAACGCCATTTCAATTTCCAACGCATAAATTGAACTTGCACATCCCGTATCGGGTTCGTACGATTAGATGGAAACCAAGAGAAAAACGCGTGATACCCGCTGGATATTTCAGCCCTCGGTGCTACGGCCGGAATGTTATGGGATGAATGAAATGGTGGATGAAGAGGGTGGAGACATGGCGTGTTTGCTAGGCGCACCTCAAGCCTGGTTCCGTCGGGGAATGACTGCCACGTGGGGACCAGCTCGACGATGTGGTCGCTGACGCAGAGCAGCCAGTCCATCTCCCGCCGCCACATGGCCTTCTTCTCCGGCGGGAGCGGCTCCAGCCTCCAGAGCTGCCCGAAGATGGTGGCTGCGAACGCGACACGCTTTGCGTTATTTGGGAATGAATGAATTTATTTACTAAACCCCACTCCTGGAGGTGGTCACGGCGGCGAGTTCTGACCGCAGAGGTTGGTGATTGCGTTGGAGATGGCGAGCGCCGTGCAGACGCCCTTGCCGCTCCCGGACATGTCCTCGCCGAGCAGCAGCTTCGCGAACCGCTCCTTCATCATCTCCGTCTCTGTCAGTTTTGTTGTCGAAACACAAGGCGCGCACACATTAGAGAATTTCACCACCGAGAATCCAGGATGCTGCGAGTAATAGTATATGAGGCGGTGGTCACCTGATGGTGCTCTGCGCTTGTGCTTGTGTTGCTGCCTGGCCACGTCGGTGTCGGAGGCGCAGCCGCCCGGCTTCCTGGCCGCCGCCGGCACCGGCGCCGCCGCGGGTGGCCACTCGTCGGTGGACGCGGCGTCGGAGCTGGAGCTGCTCCCGTCGGCGGAGGCGGAGTCCGTGAACGCCGCCTCGCTCCGAGCCTCCCTGTCCTCCTCGCCCGCGCTCCCCATCCCACGACGCGCCTGCCTGGTGCCTGCTCTATCGAGCTCCAAGTTGTCGCGGAGCAGGTATCAAGTACCACCACGTGCCCGTACGTACGTGCGCGCGCGCCGGTGGCGTCGTCGTGCACCGTGCTGCGCTCACCTGTCACCTGCTGCTGCAGTGCGGTGCAGCGGCGCGCTGCTCCGTTCCTCCGCCGGCCCGGGGTCGCGCGCGCGACGAGGCGAGGGGGCCTGTGCTGTGTGTGTGGGCTTGCGCGCGGTGTGCGTTTCGAGCCGGGGGAGTGGAGTGGCGTGGCTTGTCCGGGCTCCTCTTGGCGTTTCGGTCTCGGGAGGAGGGGGGGGACTTAAAAAAGTTTGGCTGGTCGATTGGGAAGAGTGACCGTTGGCCTTGGTTTTACTTTCCAGCGAGAGAAGCCGAGATGGAATGGAACGGGCGGGCGGCACCGGCAGCAGCAGCGGCGGGCAACGGTTACTGGGTTACGGCGTGGGAATAATGAAACGGCCGGATCGGCGTGAGGTGAGGCGTGACCGTGTGAGGGTCTCCGCTCTCCGCCCGCTCCTCCGCTGCCCGGCACGCTGGAGGTGTGATGTGAAGCAGTGCTGATTGCTGAGGCACGCAAGGAAGGCCTAGGCCGTGATGGGTGGAGAGAAAAAGGGTTGTACTCTTCTAATCCGTCCCTATCCATCTTTAAATTCTCAGTGCTAAGTTGGTGTTGGTGTTACTCGCTCACTTCCACCGGAAGTGAAGAAACACTCGAAGTGCTGGGTCGCTGCCACTCTGGGTCGTATCCTAGAGCAATCATGGTTCAGTCAGTACAGCAGCGTCGGCGGTTTAACTCCGCTCCATCGATCGGATCAGGGGATTTGACCTTTGCCATCCGCCGTTAGACTCATGACTCATCATGGTACCCTACTGTCATTTCATTTGCCATTTTGCCAGTCACGGTCTGGTAAACGTGAAAACTTAAGAAATACCAGTACCTCTCCAGGAACAAACACCATGTTCGTTTGTTGGTTTCAGCCAGCCCAAACCAGTCAGTCAACAGTGTTTTTCTCTCACATCAAACCAGCACCAGCCAACCCAAACCAGTCCAGAAACCAACCAGCGAACAGGCCGAAAATGTCAGAGCTTGTTACTGTACTAGTATAAAAAGGTCATAAACAAGCAGGTTGACTGCTCGAGCAGTGACAGCGAGTGTCAGTCAGGGCCTCAGGCTGTCACTCCATGTGAAGGCTCCAACGTCTAGAAATTATCCAATGGCACCAAAATGTCAATGGAAAAAAGTTAAAAAGTACCCGATGCAGGCCTGCGCAACAGAGAACGTTCCGAGGTCCCAGCAGCAGCAGGCCAATATCCAATAGCCGTTGGCGCGATGCGTGCAACTGCCGCAGCCTGCATAGAAAGAAAAAGAAAAATGCCGGGCCAAACTCCAACGGAAGCTACGCTTGTCGCTGCGTCCCTGTCCGGCTGTTCCCCGGTACGGGCTGGGCTCAGGCTCAGCTCGTCTGCGGTCTGCCACGCAGAGTACGCCGTGCCGTGGCGCAGGAAACCATCAGCCTGTTCGTCCATGTATTATTACCACCGGTTGGTTTAGTGTTAAACAAAAATATTATTCTAACTTGTAATTTACGATCATTTACGACCAAGCGAACAGGCTCCATGCTGCCCTCCTCGGTCAGGGCCGCCGAACGACACGCGTCTCCGGCGGTTCGGCCAGTCTGCTGTCGACCTCGCTCCGCGTACGAACAGGGGACGGGCACGGCAAGGCAAATTTCTAGATTCTGGCAAGGGCGCGCGTGCTCGGGACAAAATATTGGTTCGCTCCGTGTTCCATTTGAATCTTCGATAACGAGAATGGCATGTCTCGAGCGTCTGAACGGATGGACACTCGTTCCTCACAGGCCCGGATCCATTCTTATCTTAACAGCGCATCTGCAACACGAAGAGAAATAGTCCATCTGAGACAAGCTAGATGTGGAACCCGAGAGCGGAGGTTGCGACGGCCGGGCCGGCGAGCTCCGCTCGCACCGTCGTCAGTGAGCTCCATGTGCGTGCCGCCGCTCCCGACCTCCAACGACAAACACTCTAACAAACAGGCGAGGGGAGGAGCTCCATGTGCCACCACCGCACCAGCGATCTCGATGCGCCGCTGCCGCACCAGCGAGACTCCACTTGCCCGCCGCCGCCTGGAGCTCCGCATGCCGACGAGCCTCCACTCGTCCAAGCATCAAGATGATGTTGCGCTACAAGCAAATATATGTTTCAACTGTTTTTAACGTATGTTTCAAGTGTTTTATTTTAATGTTGTAAATGTTCATCTAAACGTTGCATATGTTGTAATAGCTATATAAACATGTGTTCAGAGGTGTGTTGTGTATGTTGCATATGGGGAAGGGGCACGGCGGGGGATAGGCGTGACGCGGAGAATGAGGATGCAGTAGAGACGGGACTCCACGGGGCAACGCGGGTGCGAGTGCAGCGGGATGCCACAGGTGACGTGGCGCGACAGGGACGGGACTAGTGGGGTGACGCGGGCGCGCTCCTATTTCTATTACGCGAGGGACGGGACAGGGAGCGGTGGGTACGCTAGAACGGGAGTTGCGTCCAGACTTTAAAATTGTGGTTTGTAATAAATATTATTAGATTAATTATAGAATATATTTTCATAGTAAAACTATTTTGAAATATAAATATTATTTATTATTTTTATAAATCTAATATTTTTTAAAATAGTTGGGCTTATTTTAAATTTAGGATTACATTTTTTTGGACAAAGACCCAAGCTTATCAGGAGTTAAACTGAATGAACCTACAGTAATGCTCCCTATAGGACGTCCGGACAGACTGGACCGCACTCCGCCTTATCCAGCGCCGCTCGTTAGTCCGCTTCTAAAAAAGACAATGCCATTCTCCAGCACGAGGCTCCTCACCGTTGAAAGCTCTAGTTTGGTTTTGGTGAATTGATGAAACCTTAAGTGCTAACCTAGTTCATCAAGTGATCATGAAATAGGTAGCACATTCCAAGTGGTGAAGCAAATGAAGATCATGACATGATAATAGCGATACCATGGTGATGATCAAGTGCTTGGATTTAAAAAGAAGAAAGAAAAAAACAAAAGGTTCAAGGCAAAGGTATAAATGGTAGGAGCCATTTTGTTTTGGTGATCAAGACACTTAGTGAGTGTGATCACATTTAGGATTGCTAGCCGTACTATTAAGAGAGGTGAAACTCGTATCGAAATGCGGTTATCAAAGTGCCACTAGATGCTCTAACTCATTACATATGTATTTAGAATCTAGTGGAGTGCTAACACCCTTGAAAATATTTGTGAAAATATGCTAACACACATGTGCACAAGGTGATACACTTGGTGGTTGGCACATTTGAGCAAGGGTTAGGAACTTCATCGGCGGAGTGCCCGCCCGTAGAGTGCGGACAGTCCGACGGTGCCACCAGCGCCCTAGACAGAAAAGACGGAGGTCACTGTAAGTGACCGGACGTTGGTCTCGGTAGGACCGGTGCGTCCGGTCAGGTGAAGCATGAAGACGCTAGCGTCGGTCTCTGACCGGACGCTAGGTCATTTAGTGACCGGACGCTAGAAGGTTGCGTCCGGTACTGCTGACATGGCAGCGCACAGGGGAGTCGACAAGTGATCGGACACTGGGTGTGTCTGGTCGAGCATGACCGGGCGCGTCCGGTCGTGAAAAGTCATCTCTGGATGCTTACTGGAAACGACCGAACGCTGGTGCTCAGCGTCCGGTCACTTTGAGCTGCTGCGTCCGGTCATCACTTGACCGTTGAGATCGGGCGATCAACGTTTGAAGAGAGAGGACACGTGGCACGCATCGCGTGACCGGATGCTGAGGTCCAGCGTCCGGTCAATATGACCGGAGCGTCCGGTCACCCCGAGTTATGCCCAATGAAGAGGTACAACGGCTCTATTTCGTGGGGGCTTCTATTTAAGCCCCATAGCCGGCCCAAGCTCACTCTCTTAACCATTTGCATTGACATAGCAACCTTATGAGCTTAGTCAAAGCCCTCCCACTCATCTTCATCATTGATTCATCATCTTTGTGAGATTGAAAGTGAATCCAAGTGCATTTCTTGAGTGTTTGCATCTAGAGGCACTTGGTGTTTGTGTTTCGCTGCGGGATTCGCTTATTACTCTTGGTGGTTGCCGCCACCTAGACGACTTGGAGCAGCGAGGATCATCGAGCGGATGTTGGTGATTGTCTCCGGCTCCGATCGTGGTGATTGTGAGGGGTTCTTGACCTTTTCTCGGTGGAGAGACAAAAGGTACTCTAGTGGATTGCTCGTAGCTTGTGTGATCCTCATCTTGTGTTGGTTGTGCGGCACCCTATTGAGGGTTTGGCGTGTGATGCCAATTAACGCGTGAACTTCCAAGTGAGTGAACCGCCACAACGAGGAGTAGCTTGCCGGCAAGCAAGTGAACCTCGGTAAAAAATCATTGTGTTCATCATTTGATTCCGAGGTGATTGGTCTTCATTGGTATTCATTCTTGTGATTGATTGGTTCATTCCTTGACACGGCGGTATAACGATCTTGCTCACTCTCTTTACATTACCGCAAACTAGTTGTCAAGCTCTTTAGTGTAGCTAGTTGTGAGAGCTTGTTAGTTTGGTTAGTGTGGCTCTTTAGTTAGCCTTTGAGAGCACACTAACTTAGTGTAGTGTCATAGCTATTGTGTGGATAAAAACTATATAAACTAGAATTGTGGTAAGTGGCTTGCTATTTTAGTAGGCTAGCGCAACACTTGCTTCGTCTCATAATTATCTAACCGGTTTGTTAAGTGTTGTTGTAGAATTTTTTAATAGGCTATTTACCCCCCCTCTAGCCATTAGGACCATTCAACCGTGGGCTTCTCAAGCATGGCAGCGCCGCATCCGCTCCCATCCCGCGCTGCTCCACGCTCCTCTCTCTACTCAGCGCCGCATGGCGTGGCCGCCCGCCCACTCTGCCACGTGCCACGCCGCTGCCCACTCCGGC